ACCCTACAGCTGCTGACATATTATATTTTGGTTAGTACTAACTTACACTACTGGTACAGTACTTAAATAGCCTATGTACAAAGTATTTAGAAGTGAACCAAAACAGTTTTACTGGAAACAAGTGTTAACGCTACAAATAATGAGTATATAAAAAAAACCTTTCAACAAAAATAGGTTGGGTTTCCAGAATGCTCAGCATCAGTCTTAACTCTGTTCTATTCACATCAATAGGAAAAAAAAATCCACAGTATATTTTATTTTGATCCTCTCTGCCCCTAAAGTTAAATCTGAATCAGTGCTCTCTTCTCTCCTGAGACACCTTCAGTATCTTCTACATCTAGCTACTGCAGTTAACATACAGGATGCTGTTTTCTTTGCTTTTTGCATAGAAAGATACCATATTGGTTTTGATGGAAACACTACGGCTAGTATTTTATTATTTGTACTACTGAAACACTGAATATTTTTATAGTGTTTAATATTATTTCTTATGCATTATTTATGAGTTTGATGTGAAAATCTCTCTTTAAATCACACTGTGCCTAGCAGTAGATAATTGCATAGAAACAGGTTATGTTACCTTTAGGAAACTTGCATTTTTGGTACAGTGCCCCACTACCTAACACATCTGCATTTACTTTAGAAGTGAATGCACACAGTCATAAGCAAGGAAATAAAATTTTCCTAGTTACTGCGATGATTCTGAAGGTTAATTTTCTCTAAAATATTAGAACAGGTTCAACAAAGCAAAAGAATAACCTATGGATATTATTTAGCTTTTTTTGATGTAAACAAAAATACCTGACAGTACCCTTGGCAAGCAACAGACGTGAAATTCCATTGTTTATAAACAAACGAATTACTTACCAATTTGTGTGATTTTACAATCATATTTCATGCACTGAAAACAAAAAAATACTTCCATACTAAAGCTGTGCCAGTCATCTTAAAAAATTATAGACATATTGATTTAAGAAGAAAAGAAGATTATAATACAGGTTTCTGTCAATAAAACTACATTTCCTTCTCATACAACTTGTTAGTGTAACAAAATAGATAAAAGATCTTTATTTTATTTTTTCTTAACCTTTCCAGCACTTTGAATCAAAAGAAAAATAAGCCAACTGACAAAAAAGTTCCCAGGCCTATTCTGGTGCTTAATAAAATATTCCACTATACAGAGGAAGAAGATTAAAAATATCAGCAGGTCCTCATTCCCAAGGCAGTCTTAGGTTAGCCACAGAAAATAACATGCTCTCAGAATTTCTTCAGAATTTACTTATCACTTAAAAGTGTTTCTGAACTTTTCTATCAAAGCAATTCAAAAGAACACAGAGCAGAGACGCAAAAATGGTCTTTAACAGTCTGCCTGCAGACACTAGAATTCATAATTTTACACAGAAACAACAAAATGAAAGCAAGTCCCTGACGAGCTTTGTAACTGGCATTCAAGATCCTGTAGGCTCTCATCTGGCAAATTTCAGACCGCCGTGGCAATTAAGAGTAATAAGGAACACATAGATTCACCACTACCATTAATTCAAAGATGCTAAAGTAGGCATGTAATGTAAAGACAGGCTTCACAACTTGCTACATTAAGAGCATACAATGGAACATCTTTGTTGGTGTGACTAAGCCACCAAACCCTTTTAATCATAGTTTACATTAAAGCCACTTGTTATTTAGCAGAACTGTGACTATGTTCAACCTTTTGCCAACACAGCACTGACAAAGAGGTATGAAACCACCCTTGATATTACTATACTCACAAAAATTTACAAGCACGTACCCTTAGCCTAGAAAAACTCCTCCCATGTAACATGGGGAGGAACATAGACAGGAAACTGTCAGGAACAAACGAGTACAGAGGAGAACTTTTTCTGCCTTCTAGACACAAAGTTTAAAATTTGGGAAATACTGGTCATGAAGCTGGAATGCCAAAGAAGGATTCAGTGTCATCCTCTCTGTTAAATAATAACATCTTTATCTGGTCATTAACTGGTTCTGTATCATGTCTCCATTTGGAAGCTCAGACCTCTAGCTAAGCACCTGAGGAATTTTTTAAACAGGCATAAAATTAATGAGCAAGGGCTCCAAACAAGTGTTTGTTTTCAAAAATTAGATAGAACAATATTTACTCCATTAGATACAAGTTTTTACTTTAACATAAATTAACATAAATTAAATTCCTAAGCTATTTCAGAATTAATAGCTTTATTTGAAAAAAATAAACGATGTGCTATTTCAAAACTGCAAATTATGCAGAAGAAACTAATTCCAGGTCATACAGTTCCTCTACAACTATTTTTCTTCCTCATCTTGGATCTGTTTCCATTTGCAACATTATTCTGGCTTATTAAAGCTTTATAATTGAGACAGAGATGAAAATGCCTATTACAAAGAGCAACAATTATTAACTGCTGTGAAAATAAACTGGCTTGTATGTAACTTATGGAAAGCAACAGATGGCCAAGTAGGGTATGCTGAAACAACAAACATGAGTGGTTTTGTTGCTCACTTTGCTTCTCCACCCCAAAGAAGATCATCAACAGAAACTGCAAGCATTTCTCAAGTAATAGCTAATTGCACAGATGAATTTGTCCTGGAAAAAAGACATATATGAAATAATCATAAACCGCAGAGGCATATTTTAAAAAGTTAAGCCAAAGTCTTTGAGTTTTGGACTTGGTTTTTTACACAATTTTGCATTAAGATCCTCCACATCCATTATGCTCCTTGATACCATTTCAGTTGCTAATGCGGCTCAAATCCTTCCCCCTTTTCCACAAAAGTTCTTGTAAGAAGCTGTTTAAAATTGCAGGAATCCAACATTCCTGCAATCTGCTAACAGGCAGACTGCACAAATGGAATAGTAAATTAAAGTAAGAGATGAAACCTTGATTCAGTAGGTTCTCTTGAAAGTACAAAAAACCCTTCCTTCAGAAATACCGAGCAGTACCCATCATCCATTGTTTCATTTGCCTCAAATTGCAATGACAAACAATACCAGTATTTGCTTAAAAGAAAGACATTTCCTGTGGACCAAGTAAACCACGAACAGGTAAGGAAAAGAGAAACCTGAGAGACAAATGGGAAAGAGAGATCATTCTATTGGTTTCTTTTTTTAAAGATGAACTACCTTTAATTAAAGAAGGATCAATTTACAGAACTGACAGTGACAGTACAGCTGTACTGACTTTAGGTACGCTACGGCATTGGTTACCATGGGAAAGGAAGGTTGTATTATAGTCAAATACACAAATAGGCTCTGCCATTTTGAATGCCCCAAGTTCTGAACAGAGAGTAAGATGATGTAGTTCAGAGATCTTGATGGATAAAGCTTGCATTGCCTATTGGTAATTGACTTATTTTTTACCAACAGTGCTGGTGCTAACAAAATATAAGTTGAGATCCTCCAAGAAACAAATAGTTCTTGCACAGTAATTTTGAAGTAGTGTTTCCTCAAAAACACAACCGGCTTTGAGTTAGGTACCCAGTTCCCAAACTCCACACATTTAACAAGAACTTCTCTTCTCCTGCTCAGCTCCTTATAGAAACTGCTCACCTGAAGGCTAACTGAATCCCAAGCATTCACGTAGTCAAAGAGAGAAAAGCAGAAGATAATATGCTTTTGTATACTGTGGACTAAAATTACTGCAGAAGACTATTAGACTAATTACTAGTTGTATACCAAAATTAACAAGTATTAATTCAACCCTTGAAGTAGCCTTGGAAAAAAAAAAAAAAAGAAAAGAAAAATGAGATATCCTAACACAATAGTTTGGAAATAAACTTGTACCTGTCAGTACTACACTTGGATGCTCTTACCATAATTCATCATTGATAGAACAATTTTCTCACTCTGTAACACTAGTCACTAAGGAAGAGCTCGGCCCAAACCCTACAAAGACTCAAAACTATCCCATCAAAAGGACAGCAAGCAGATATGCTCATACTCCTTCAATAAATAAACATTCACCACCACACATTTTTGAACACACAACATGGGTAGCATACATGTAGGCAGCTGAAGCAGCCAAACTTGACCTATATCCATACAACAGAATTTAGACGTTGTTTTCAAAATTAAAAAATTCCATAACCTGCTTAATACACACAGTCGCAGTTAGACAGAACCTGGTACGTTCTGGATCAAGGCCACCATAGCATAAAAACAAGTGTAACATTCTCCTTTTTCAAAAGGAAAATATGGATCTGCATACACCTCAGTCCACAAAGATGTGAAAAAATTCTCATGCAGTGATGTTAGAGGTTAGTAGAACCTCGTGAACTACTTTAATCTAAATAGTATGTATGGTATGACAAAGAGAGATGGAGTGTCCTGAAACATCCAAGTTTTGTCAGATACAAGCAAGAGCAATGCAGTAAATACTCGGAACAGCCAGCCTGCTTTCCAAAATCCCAACTCTAAGAACTCACTGGCTGAACAAAAGTTGCAGTTACTCCAATTCTACTGGAAAATGTCATCTCACTTGAAATACCAGATTCAGCACCCAAAGCCTGCAGGACCCTAGAATTTTTTGGCCTGAAGTGCCTAAATTGAACTGTCAAAATAGACACCCCATGTTGCCGCTCCCATTAAACAGAAAAATTCAGCCTCCCAACACATCCTGGTGCAAAGCAACACAAGAACAAAAATCTGGGAGCAAGACCTTGCCAAATCCCTCAGACCCTTGTTCACAAACATGTACACCCAATTGCACAGTAAAAAGTACTGAGCCTCACTTACATGACTAGGGAAATCTGCACCTTCTTAAATCGTGGCCCTAGAGACCTTGGAAAGGTTAAGCCTCATATTCTTTCTCAGTTTGTTTTTTTTTTTAAACCAGACAGTTTTCTTGTACTTTTTTTGTCCCACGGTTCAATTGATTCTGCAAAGGTAGATGGGACCAGCTGGAGAGAACGACTAAAGAAGTTATCACAGAGTAAGGAAAAAGTAACACTAAGGTGGAGGTATCTGGACCATGCAGTAGCCTTACCTCCTGGATTCGCCTGCGGGCCCGCTGCAGCACCTCCTCGTATCCCTTCTGTCGCAGCTCACTCAGACTCTCATAATACTCTTCAGGGTCGTCAGTCTCCGTGAAGAGCACCTGCGAAAGGATCTTCCAGCCACAGGTATCCAAGCTGTGAACCAAGTAAACTTGCAGGTTGTAGCAGAGAGCATCCATCTCCTGCTCGGATAGCTCTGGGGCTCCGAACAGCACCGTCCACATGCCCGAGGGCTCCTCGGGGAAGGCAGGCAGGTAGGGCTCCAGCTCCGAGTTGACCGAGCACAGCTGCTGGTGCACAGCCCTCAAGTCTTGGAAGGAGAAAAGGCCGGCCCAGCTGCACTCCTCCCCCGCGGGCTCTGCGTCGGGAGC